TGTCAGGATGGTTTCTAATCATGGAGAGCAGCACCTCCATTTGTATTACGAAGAGCATAGGGGCTAGAGGGCACCCTTGCCTCAGGGAGCGAGTAAGCGAAAAACTTTCTGAGATTTCCCCGTTGACCATAACCCTCCCCGTGCTAGTTGTGTACAGCGCCTGCACCCACCGACAAAAGGGGTCCCCAAAGCCCGCTAGTCGTAGGGTATCCAGGACAAAATCCCAGTTCACTCGGTCATAGGCCTTCTCCAGATCCAGGAGAAGGGCCACCATTTTCGGTTGGTCCTCACGAATTGTCTCTAGGGCCTCAAGGGTTAGCATGACATTGTTAAGAATGTCCCTTCCTTGTACAAAACCTGCCTGTTCGACCTCTACTAAGCCCGACAGGTACCTCTTAAGTCTGATGGCCAAGGTCTTGGCCAGGAGTTTGTATGAGGTATTCAACAGTGAAATCGGTCTCCAATTCCTAATATTTCTTTTATCCCCCTTTTTATAAAATAGTGAAATTGTACCCATCCGCATTTCCTTTCCCAACTTCTGTCCCTCCAAGACCTTTCCAAAAATATCCGTAAGGATCGGCCTGAGGATGTTCCAAAAAACCACATAGTACTCCATTGGAAGCCCATCACTGCCCGGGCACTTGCCTTTTTCCATTTCCTTTAGTGTTTGTGTGAGCTCCTCTATCGTAATCGGTCTGTCCAAATCCAGTTTGCCGTGATTAGGCAAACGGGCTTCAAATGAACTCCACATCTCCTGCTGGAGAAGGCTGTCCTCGGGGTCAGGAACTGAAGATCTAGAAGATGTAAGAATATTCATAAAATACATCCTTGCATAATCCAGGATCTTTGGTGTATCTCTGGCCCTTGGCTCAAAAGCGTCGAAAGGGTGGTCTAGCTTGATGATCAGAGAAGAACCCTTTTTAGAGGACAATCTTCTAAAATTTTCTTTGGTCATTCTGTCCCCAACATCCATCCACTTAACCCTAACCCTTTCTGCCCAGATCCTTTCTTTGTTAATTTGCATATTGTCCAATTTATCCACCCATAAGTTTCGTTGTCCCATCCAATACTCAGAGAACAGCGGATCCTCCTCCATGCGTGCTTCTGCCCATTCAATCCTTTGGGTGCATTCCTCTTCGGCCCTGCGGTCGAGGTAGGCTTTTGTTCGAGAGGCTAAGCTAAAATCCAAGGCTGCCATTCTGTTGGCAGCCTCCAACCAATCCGACTCTGATTCGTAGTATTGTCTCAAGGATCTTAATTTAATCATGGATTTCTTGATTGATTTTACCAGCTGTGTGTCTTTTAGTATTTCTGTGTTTAATTTATAGAACCCTTTCCCTCTACTAATGTGGCCGTCTGGGATAAAAGAGATTAAAACTGGTCTGTGATCTGATAATGAATCAAAAGGCATGTTAACCTCCATAGCCCATTCCGCTGCTTTGTCCTTTACCAAGAAGAAGTCAAGCCTGAGTTTCGTAAAGGTACCGTCTCGACGAGGGGTGTGTGAGACCCAAGGGTATTTCTTGAGTTTCGTACAGACACACATCATGTGCTCGAGCCCGTAGTTCGTTTTTTTCCCCCTTTTTCCCAATCATTTCGGACGGGTACTCAGGGCTCTTTTTATCCAACGACCTAACTCAGTTGGTAAGGCACGTAAGTGACATTCAGGAGGTCTCGGAGTCAATCCCCATTGGCCTCATATACCTTCCTGGGCAAGCTTGGCGCTCGCCACCTAGAGATATGTCGTTGGTCCCCCCGAGTGGCATTGAGCAGAGACTGCTGATGTTCATAGGGGGAGGGGACCGGAGGGGAGGCACAGTGACTGGCCCATCGAAGAAGCTCGAGTGGCATTGAGCAGAGACTGCTGATGTTCATAGGGGGAGGGGACCGGAGGGGAGGCACAGTGACTGGCCCATCGAAGAAGCTCGGTCCTGATGCTACCGGCTGACCCCTGGCCGGTATCGCCCACCTGCTGTGGCAGGTATTGCAGCTGCTGGTGGGTGCAGCTTCCGCATGTTCCCTTGTTGGAGGCTTGAGCACAGATGTGGCCGCTATGTGACGCCCAACCTCACTCCCAGCGCGACTTCCTGCGTTCGGAGTGTTAGTGGGCCTGGAAGTGCAAAAAGGGGTGTGCCAAGGATTTTAGGAAAGTGGGCGTGGAGTTCCAGGTCGAAACTGAAATCTCCTGTGTCAAGTTCCGTGTCAAGTTCCGGGGATAGAAGTGCAAGTGTCACTTTCGGCTCAGAGTTGTGGTGATGGCCAATCTCGCGGCCTGATCCGCGTATGGCGCTCGGGTGGGGCGCCGCGGGTGTCCCGGTGGGAATGCTCGTACCGCCGCCGGCCGACGCAAGTCTCCGAGGCTGAGGAAGATGAGCTGCGCTCCCGCTGTTCCGTTTTGAGACAGGTTCGTCGAGTGATCCCCGTCGGACGATACTCGTCGCGCTGCTGACACTCTGAGCATGGCGATCGGGGCCAGAACCGGGCTATGGACTCCTAGGGTACGACAAGTAGTTGGTGGTACGGGAGGACGACGTAATAGGGAGGGAAACTAGTGGTGATGGCCACGAAGCCTGGGGTTAGAAGGTAATGCTGGCTTCGGCTGTCTGGATAATCCGGGATCCGCGAGTCTTGATTTATGGCCAATTGGAAATCGCCTCTGCACAATTGCTCGTTTCGAGTTCGGCAGGGGTAGTCAGGATTCCGTGAGTTTCGTTGTTGTCTGGGTTGTTGCTGTCTGACTTGTTCCCTTTCCCAATACGCTCGGTATTCCGGATCTCTCAGGCTCTCACGGTCGGTAATCCAAAAGGGGGTTTCGATCGCCATATCCTATTCAGCGGAGTTTAACGCAGGCATATTCGACGAGTGGGATCAGGTTGGCTCTTGCATGGGCGCGCGTAGGCTACAGGTCACCTCCGCGGGCGGCTGCCTTACACATGCGTGCGCATGAGCCGGTCGATCGGATCAAAGACCGCGTGTGAGAGGGTGGTCGATGATTTACCGGCGTGTCGGTTTGTCCTATATGCTTGCAGACCTTCCGTGCAACTGTTATCCAAATCTCAGACAGAACCAATCATTGCATTCATGCTCACACCAAAAAGAGGGCAGAGTTAGTTTTTGGCATCAATCATGCCCGACTTTAAAAAAAAACACAAGTGGTTGGACATAAAATTGGAGATTAGAGAGTAATAGACACAATCAAAGAGGAAAAGGGACGCGCATTCATTCATCCTCATGCATACATACACTCAAAGCAGATAGTCCAAGATGATTTACACAAGAAATCCGAAGGTGCAGCAACAAAAAATGACCAACGTTGGAATCAAAACTTTACATAGAAGGTAGGGAGAAGAAGACGATGTTCCACCATATCCCCGTCTCGCTCTCTCTCTCTCTTTCTTTCTTCTCTCAATGCGGGCAGTGCGTTGCCCCTCATATCCGAAGCCACACAGAGTCGTCACCCCGCTTGGCCTGAGGGTGCAAGCCAGGTTCGCCCACATGTCGCAGTCCGTCGCGACCACGCGTCAACCTTGTGCACTCAGCACCAGCTCCTCGGATCGCCCAACTCTCATGCTCACTCACCTTCCAAAACTTGCTCGTTAGCCGACCCTCACTGATCGTGCTAACCTCGAGGTTCTTAGAGAGACAACTAATCGCGCTTGCGAAATTGATAGCATGCATGCTTGCGCGAGGGATACGGGATTAGCACCAATTGATGAGAAAAAGAAAAGAGGGAGTGCCTACGTCTGCATGTCCAGGCCGCAACGCGGGGGACGAGGCCACTCTCCGCGCATTGATCCGGGCATGCAACTGTGGGAACCACTTAGAACAGAGGAAGAGTGTGCATGCGAAGACGAGGCGGGAATGAAGGAAATACGAAAGCCATCAAGAACAAGCAGATTACCGTTGCGATTGCGCCCGTAAAAAACTACAGTTACACACAGGATTAAGGCGTGGACGGAATCACAGCCTAAACCCTGCAGGGGCACGGTGCGTGCGAGCAAGAAGCGTCATGCCGCCAAATTACAAGGTGCCTAAATTCCTATTCTAAATCCTAATTGCAAGAGAAAATTCTGAAAAAAAACAATTCCAAGAGCCTCCCATCCTAATTAGTTCAAATTTCAAAAACAAAAATTCCCGCGCGCTAATCACACCAAAATGCATAGCAGAACAAGAAAGATGCTATGGCAACCGTTATTTATTGCGCTCGCTAGGGCGTGGTCACTTCATCGTCGGTGCGGGACTTCACCGGCACCGGCCTGACGAACTCCAAAAAAAAAAAAAAAAAAGCGAGGGCATCCATGCAACTTGCCCTGCCGATCCCGCTTGCGCCCCGTCACCCATCAAGGCCCTCTTGTTTCCTTACAGCGGCCTCACGCAGGAAGTCGCGCGGTTGCAGAAGATAGCACATCACATATGTGATGCCCAGGAGGTTCCAAACTTGTGCAACCTCCCGCTTGCACTCATATCTCTCCAGGGTGCATGTGTCATTACCATAGGATCAGAGTGTGGAAGTCATCCTGTTGACACGTCATCATCCTTGCACCCACTTTAGTGTTATGAGGAAGGGGTGTAGGGGAGTCGGAATGCGGGGGCGGGGGGTGGGGGGGTGTTCTCTCGGGAGTGCGGGTAAGAAGCTGGTCATTCCTGCTACTGTTGCGAAAAGTTCCAGGTATCGGGCGGTGCGGTGTATGCGCGGGAAACGACGGCTGCCATAGGGAAGGGAAGCAAGGTAATCAGGATAAAGAGTGGAAAGGGTACGAAGCACGGCCGCGTGGAACTGCTCGTGGTCTGTACACACAGGGATAGTCCCTGTTATTGTGCAGTAAACTTCGATCATATTGTGATTCCGTCGTGCGACGCTGAAAAGAAGGATGTGAAGACTAAAGGAGGAAAAGACGCACTGAGAAGTGGGGTGTGGGTATATTATGGCGACGAGGCGGGTGGCGTAGAATTGGTAGAAGAGGGAGGAGGGGAAGGGATTCTGGGGAAAGACGAGTGGTGTGTCTATTTGCCAGAGCGTAAGGTAATCAAGGGGACGACGGGATAATGACCGGGGACGTAGCCCGATGCCCCGCATCGGCACGTGCTCGAACTGAGGGACGGGGGAAGGGGGAGGGGGATCGGCTTCGTTGCCTCCGTGTCGGTGTGCTCGAAGCCTCTGCGGTGCAGCGCTTATCTTCCTCCGTGGGCTTCGCGACCAGCATCGCAAAGTAAAAGGCTTCATAGTGGTTGTGCGGATCGTCTTCCGCCATACGCATCAACCACATGCAGGCAGCCAACAAAAGTCTGAAGCAATCCGCAATTCTAGACAAACGATCGTGCAAGATGAACCCGTCGTCGATGATGCCATCCATTTGCACTGCGGCACGAAATGCATGCGCGATGCATACAACGGTCGCCTCTCGGTGCGCCGCCATGTCGTCGTCCTCCGGCCTGTCCTCGATGTTCGCACTCGCAAACCACAATGGCAAGCCCATGTTGAGGTCGATTGTGTGCGCGCAAACGGTCGCGCTAACGACGTTGCTCCACTCCTCGCCGTACCACATGACGCGCGCAATGCCCGTCGCCACCGACTTCAGCGCGTACTGGAAAGCGACATTGAATCCTCGGGGGCGGTTCCCGGACTTGAAAACCCATCCGTGCAAGATGTGCAGAGCAATATTTTCCATTGCCGTCGCGCGGGCGATCACGTGCTGCAGTTGTGCGGGATCTGCAATCCTTGTGAGGGTCGTCGACGATTTCGGCATGACGACGCTCCTGGGCACGGCACACGTTTGCAGCCCGCTGGCGATGGCGACAAAGTACTCCCGCGTTTCGTGGACGATGTTGTACACCCTTCGCCCCTCCCCCGTCGTCCAGAATGCTTTGTCATCGACCCACAGACGGGCACGGTCGGCCAGATCTCTCGCCATCCCTCCCCTCCGAACCCGGCTTAGAAGGGGGTCTTCATCCTCCCTTTCACCCTTGTTGTCGCCGCGCGTCGCCTCCCGCTCCACAACTGGGACCTCCTCTCTCGCCCTTGCCACGACACCAACATCGCCCGAAGACCCCGCGGCTGCACCAGCGATCGCCCTCCCACTCGCCACGAGCGCTTCTTGATGGGCCCCCTCCCCTCCCCCGCGTTCCATGGACGCGGCTGGGACGGCGTGGAGGGCAGGCCACCCTGAGGTGGCCTTTCTTCAGTCGCGGCGTGTATCCTGACTACCGTCGCCATGGCGCCTTGTGTGACATTGCGCTGCCTACGGCTTTCCAAGGGCTCGTCGTCCTCGCCGCCGACGTCGACGACAACCTCCTTCGCCTCCTGGGTGTTGTGCTCACATACTTGTTGCGCCTCCGGAGGGGGCGTCACCAATCTTATCGCACCGCTCTGATCAGATGAGCGTTGAAGACTGCTTCCCCGAGGCGCCGACACGTTGTCCTCTTCTGCTTCCTCCTCTATCGTGAACACGTCGTCTTCTTCCTCTTCGTTGGCTGTGTCCAACTTCGCCCTCGCCAAAGAGGCAGGCTTGTTGATGCTTCTTCCGAACGGAGCCTCTTCGCCTTGGGGACATGCCACCGACCCCTTTCCCGCCCCTGACTGTCCGCGGGGATGTTTTCCCGCTTCTTCCCACGGGCGCCGCCTCGCGCAAACATGCTTCCCGCCTCCGTCAATGGCCGTCTGTGGCTATGCCTCCGTTCGCACCGACGACGAACAAGCGCCTTCAAGTTTGCCGCCCTGGGGAGCAATGCGTCCACGTGTTCGCAAGTGCTGCGGCGACACCGGCTATACTGGTTCGCGACGAAAAGAAGACGACACAGACGACGACATACCCCCAAGTGGCGAGAGAGATTCGCGGCGACAAAGATAGAGGGGCCCGCCCTCGCCACACACACTACCTCCACGTCGACACGAACGCGAGAAGGAGATGAACCCTGCGGACACTTCTCCACGGCGAGAATAAGATCTTCGCGACTAAACGACGCCGGACCTCCGAAGGGGCGATACGGATCCGCGGCGAGAAGGAGAGCGACAAGATCCACAGCGATGATTGACGACGACATTGAAGAAGTCTCAGACGAGAAGAAGATGAACCCTGCGGACACTGCTCCGCAGTGAGAAGAAGATCTTCGCGACTACAGGACGCCGAACCTCCGAAGGGGTGATATGGATCCGCGGCGAGAAGAATCCACGGCGAGAAGGAGAGGGACAAGATCTACAGCGATGATCGACGACGACTTTGAAGAAATCCAAGACGATGAGGACTGCGAAGAAACGGGCGACTTCGTAGTGGCTGTGCGGTGCGACGATGAGGAGAAAAGGAAGAGGGCGTCCCACGTGGATGTCATCGCTGTGCACCGTGTGCGCCGACCTTCACTGTTGAAGAAGCCGCAAGCGGACGACCTTTATGGTGGAGGAGGCGCAGACGCATCGAAAGCATGGAGCAGACGGACGGGCCCCGACGACGATTCCTCACCTGCCGTCGTCGTCGACAGCGACACGTATGACAGCAACTCTGTAGACCTCCTTCGCGCACACTCCCTTCAACTGTTGCCACGCCCAGCTCCCCGAGGCGCCTACAGACCCTTCGACGCCTCTGCAGAAGCGCGTCCATACACTCTCCACGGGCCGATATGGATTTCTTAAAAGAAAAACAACAACCCCCCCCCC